TGAGGAACCTCTCGAACCCCCACGAGAGACAAACCTAATGCGCGTGCGAGCCCCCACTCTTTCGTTCCCCTTCACACACAAGTATTCTTCTCTTTCCTTGTCTACTGTTGATAGTGCCACCTATTAGGAGGGCGCTGAAACTTCTAGCCAAATAGTACGATATAGTGTCCGCTAGATGACGCCACCGAAAGTTCTACCTCCTTCCTTGTCACACCCATATATCTTACCTTTTCTTTCTTTCGCCAATATCGATGGAGCCATCTATCGGGGAAACGGTGAAACTTCTAAATGCTTACCGCTGTATGGTATGTCTAGCATCTCTCCTTTATATTATCTTCCAAAATTTATGTACGTAGGATTCATAGCGAACTTATTGTTTCTCGAACAATTAATTTTTATATCTTTTAACATCTAATTCTTTTTAAACAGTCGGTACATTAGACTAATGGTTATCGTCGGTGGTAAAACACTTACCGTCTTCTCGGGTCTCCGTATCCTCTGTTGGTTCGTTGGGACGCGGGAACTTCAATTTAGGAACAAAGGGCGAATAATTTATCTCGAGTTTATCTTAATTCAGATAATATTTATTTGATAGATATAATACATTGAATTTGCCAGCACATGTGAGAGAAACACACACTTCTCGGCGAATAATACTTGCTGTTTCCTTATAATTCGACACCTTCCAATTATTCCTATACTACTGCTACCGAACATACTTTGTTTTTCTTCGGTTGTCCGTGGAACGGAGTGTTTCGATTCATTGTTTCCTTGGTTTTCCTTTCCTCGGCGCTTCCACGCTCGACTCACTCCTCGACACGCGGCAATCGGTACAAGCGGTACCTGCAAACGCCGTCAGCGCAGCTGTAGAATCCGAGTTCGCATCAAGAAAATCGGGGGCAATTACAGAGATGAATCGTGTCGTCTCGCGGACAATAAAATGCTCGACTCGCTCACCAGCGGAGAGGCCGCGAGTCGCATCCCGCTGCTGTTCGCCCTGTAAAGCTCGCTTCGCGTTACAATTTCACGTAAACCAAACGTGTACAAACAGAAACGGTACGTCAAAGAAATTTCTAGCAAAGTTTCTATCACCTGGTCCTCGACGCTGCAACTACTGCGAACAGTCGAGTCGACTTTGCCCAACTGCTCCGTACAAATTTCAAGATCCCTTGGATTCATTCGTGAAATTAATCTCTCCGGTCATCAATATCTCAAAGAAACATCCGCCGTTAAAACGATCACTCGAGAACTCGAGAACAAAGCGTTCCGACCGGTAGTCGCATCATGAAAAAATTCCTCATTGATTCATTCGTGAAATCAATCTCTCCGGTCATCAATATCTCAAAGAAACATCCGTCGTTCGAACGATCACTCGAGAACAAAGCACTTCGATCGACCGGTAGTCGCAGCATGAAAAAGTTGAACGAAACTGGAGCGCAACTCTTCGGGCGCGGCGCAACACACAAAACGCACGCGACTCGGCGGAGCTCCTCTCGCGAGCGAGTCCGTTACATCACAGCGTACTCTTCCCCCGGCGGAGGAAAGAGTACCAACGAATACACACACACAGACTTACACGAGATGGTTTCCCGTGCTCGTGTGAACGGGGCGCAATAAAATAGTCAAACGTTACGAAAACTCGTTTCACGCGCAAGTCCCGAAATCGTAAAACGCGTCCACGCATCGAACCGCGGGGATGTTCAACAGGCAAGAAGGAGAAGTCGTAAGTCGCGAGTCCCGAACGCGACGGGCCGCAATGAAACCGGTACTGTTCGGTAAGCTGTATACATGTACGTGTATATATTTATGTATCTCAACGACGAATTAGTGTTCTCGAATGGTGTATCGACGTTCCCTTCCCTCCTTCCCTCGGTCCTTCCTTGAAATCCATCCTCCCTTCGTCGGGGATCACCGCTACGACAGACGGTCGCGTTGTTTATGTACAATGTCTGCGATAAAGACTAATTTAATTTATAAACATCGTTGTCGTTTATGTACAGACGTAATAGAAACGCATTATACATTATAAAACGGACATGTGTAAAAGTGTCGCGAATCAAACAAACACGGTGTGTCACAGTCCACGCCGAGAGACCGTCGGGTCCCCCGCGTGATCCGATCGGCGAAGCCGTCCCGGTTGCTCGGACGCGACAGGACCTCTCCCGAAAGCGTCGGCAGCTGCAACGACGCCAGGCCCCGAAGGCCTGCGCGCGTTCGGTCCGGTCCCGAGAGACGCGCGGCCTCGTGAATCACCGCCGGTAGCCCGTGAACATTCCATCGTCGACGGTCGACGAGAAGTACTTCGGTCAAATCTCTACGCGCACTTTTCTCTAGCCTAAAGGTCGCATCGGACCCCCCATTCGGCCTCGATCGGCGGACACAAGGTTCCGGAGCCAAGCTAGCGACTGTTCGCGTCACGACGAACGAACCTTGCCTACCGAGAACGCACGAATCCGCGCTACGACGGTTACACCTAATATTCTACTTGTTGCTAGAATTTCAATCAACGAAGACTTCAACCGAACGACACACAAGTGGCAGAACGAAAAGTACCTTCACGCCGAGCCACGACCGTTGCGGAGCCGAACCCTGGACTCGAGTGACCGCCTCACGAGGGTCGACGCGCCTTAGTACCCTATTTTGACGACACTTTCATCGTGCTACTGGTGACAAAGGACTAACGTGAAAGTCCCCTCGAAATAGATCCCTTCCCTTCTTGCTGGCCGGAACTCCCCTGCCGCGGGAGGCGATTAGAAAACCTGTTGGGAAGCGGCCGAGTCGTGAAACCAAGATACGCAAGAAAGTGTCAGCCCGGTGATCGCAGCAACGGAAGAGTCGTTCGACAATATCACTTGCACACTGTAAAAATCGTCTCTAATCTAATAGCGCTTAGGTAGGACTAAACCTCTCTGTCTTCGACGTTCGTGTCTCGCTCTCGTCGCGCGAACGGCCTGAACCTCGGTGTCCAGTCGGCGGCGAGGACAAGGGCGGTCGGAGCATGCGCTCAAGCTGCCGCGTTTAAGCTCAAGTGAATTCTTCAAGCGACTTTGTTAACGGTATCGTTTATGCTCTCTCGTTCGGATCGCGGAGGACCGGAGGCAGTCTCTGCGATCGTTCCTAGCAGACGACGCTCGTTAATTCAACCTTCACCGACATTCGTCTCGAGGTACCGAGAGCCTCGTATGCAATTCTAATCCGAACGTTATGACCCTGATTCCGCCATCGTTCGCAGCTCTAACAGCCTCCACGCGTTGATGCGTCTGCTCGGTGACGCATCGGTGTACCCAAGTTTCACGATACACGTGTCTCGATGCGAATTAGAAGCCTACAGAACAAGTCGTTTAGAATCGCGTCGATATCATAGGCTGAACTGAAGAGAATCGGAAGTGTAGAGGCTAGCTGAAGTGGCGCAGACGGTGTCCAAGTGTCGGCAACGTGTATCACAATGTACAGAGGCCTAGAAACTGATGCAGGCTTCACGAAACTCGGTGTATCGATGCGTCAGCGACGCGCGAGCCACTCGTCCGCCGAACGACCAACTCCGAACAGTACAGGAAAATGATTCGATGGTACACATTGATGTCTCAAACTTCCCCTTACACGGAGAACCAAACAAATACTATGCAATCCGTTTTACCTGGTGGTTACAGGTGCAGCCTTAAAGTAACCAACAGCGATTGCAATTTCCGCGAGATCAATAGAAGATTCTCACTCTGCGGTAGCAAAGCTAGCAATACGGGAGTTCAAAGAGGAGTTGGTCGGTTTACCCGACTACCGGCTCGCGCGTCGCACCTTGCAGACGCTTCGAAGCTGCCCCGTGCCCGCCGCCAAGCGCACGCGTCCACGGCGCGAGTCGCACTGCCCAAAGCCCACCGACGCGACAGAACATACAAGTTAACAGGTACAGACTGTAATAGAAAAAGTGCGCGTACAACGTTCTCCAAAAGCGTTCGGCACCGGCAAGGAACCAGGACCCGTTGCGCAAAAGGATCCTGCTTGCCCTACACCCGGGAAACAAGCATCATCATCATCTCATCTCATCAACATCATCATTGTCATCATCCTCGATCGTAACGAGCGCAGCGCACGTCATGGCGACCGCACAAGCCCAAGTTCTCCGAGCTAGTCGCGAGGTCAATCGGTGAGAGAGTGTTCGCGATCAAAGAAGCAAATCCCTGGCCGCGAGGAAAGCTGGACATCGGGCCGCGCTAGAACGTTACTTGATCGGCTTGCCCCAGGCGAACTGGATGGGCAGAGGCGGGATGTCGCTGCTGGTGGAGGACTCGTCCTCGCTGCTGGTCGCCGAGGCCTCCTCGGAGATCATCGCCTCGCCGCCGGCCTCCTGAGGCCTCTGGCCGGTGCCGCAGTCGTCGGCAGCCGCGGCGGCCGCCGCCGCAGCCTCCAGCGCGACCGCCACCGCGGAGTTCGACGAGGAGGACGCCGAGGAGGACGACGAGGTCGACGAGGAGGAGGACGACGGGTCGCTCCTGGGTCTTCGTCTGGCGATCGGCGTGGAGTTGCAGGTGGGCGACCAAGCCGCCTCCTCCACCCTCGCGGAGTCGGTCACGGAGATGCTCTTCGACCTGGCGCGCATGTCGACCGACGACCTCCTGGGCGCCAGTCTCAGCGAGCCCTGCCTGGCGACGGACGCCGACTCCGGCCTGCTCATCTTCGGCGGGGTGGCCAGCGAGCCGTCCGCCCCGTTCTTCGAGAACTCGTCGTCGATCTCCAGCGTCCAGGAGACCGAGTCGCCCTTCTCCACCATGAACTTCACCATCGACGAGGACTGGGGACCGTTCTTGTCCGGTGAGAGCGAGTGCTCCACCTGCTCCGGGCCCAACGATCGCGACAGCCTAGGCGTCAGGTTTGCAAGAACGGTCACCACTTCGTTTTTTTGACGCAACCTCCACTGCAGCTCCTCGTTCCTCTGCGCGAGCCGCTTGTTCTGCTTGGAGATCTGGTGGATCGACTCGTGCAGCACCTCGTTGTCGTGCGAGATCTGCCTCTCGAGCGACTCCTTGCACTGCAGCTGCGCCTTCAGGTCCTCGCATCTCGCCTCGAGCGTGTCCACCCGCTGCTGCAGCGCCTCCTTGTCCTCGATCTCTCGCCTGATGTTGTCCAGCTCCGAGCGCAGCGCCGCGTTCTCCTGGCTGCGGATCTCCAGCACCGATCGCAGCGACTCGACCTCCGCCGTCAGCGCGGCTCCTTGGTCGTGCACCACCGATCTCCTCTTCAGCTCCGACTCCCTTCTCGCGTACTCGGCCTCCTGCTCCGATCGCAGCTTCACCATCGCTGCACGGTGCTCCTTCGCCGTCTCGTTCAGCGTGTCCCTTAGCCTCGACTCGAACCTGCGCCTCTCCTCCTGCAGCGCCGCTTCCAGGGTCGCTATCTGCTCGGCGTGGCGTGCTTCAACTGCAACGACAATCGGGAATCAGTACTTTACTCGCGGCGACTCTTTCTGTTTCGACTCTGAATGGAAACTGTCCATCGAGTTGTTGACATTTCATGTCTTTTTAAATAAAATATGTGAATAAAACTCAAGTGCTTTCATTGCGGTAAGCCGAAAAGCGAAGCGTTACTTGCGCTGGAACTGAATTCGATTTGGCAAAGCCTCACGCGATTAATTTTGCTTTTACTTACACTGACACGAAGACTAATCTAGTTTGTTAATCACTCTGCATAGAGTGGTACATTTCGAAGCAAAACACCATAGCGTGGCATTTCCAGCGCAAGTGGTTAAGAAAAGTAACGCGTTTCTCCCGACTCGTCGACGTCGTAACGAGAAAATCAAAATTATCAGTCGTCCCTTCGCACGGACGAGCGTTTTTCTTTTTGACGCTGATTGACGTCACCGGGATAGACCGAGAAAAACGGGAAGAAAAACAGACGGGCCCGCCGAGGGCTCGCGGAGAGGGCGGGGGAAGGATCAAGACCGTCGAACGTGCCAACCTATAATTAACCTCGATGAACGTTACGTGGCCACTAAATCGAGAGAAAAGAGAGAGGGAGAGGGAGAGGCGTTTGTGATGTCCGCAGCGTGTGTGGCCGGCTTTTGAAAATTCCTCGCTCGGGATTCGGCTTGAGTCGGGGCCGGGCCGCGCGTGGGCAACACAGCCGCCTCGCGGATTTTAATTAACAATTGCTCCACTTTAAAGCTCTGCCATCGAGGACCATTACACTCGTTACCGCCAGGGAATATCATTATCATACGCGACACTGTGCCTGGCACAAAGCGGACGCGAGAGTGCCGTGGCCGCCGCTCCAGATGGAAATGGGAACCGAGACGACTCGCGTTAACCCCTTGACACCGCTTCGTCGCGCACCGTGAATACGCAATTTATCGTAATCTGCTTTGACACTTTGCGTACCGTGTACAATCCGACGAGTATATTGTTTTCCGTTGAATCGTCGAGACGTCGTGCTCAGACTTTTTCAAATTTTGTCTGAGTTGCAGGTGTTTAGCAATGTTCGGACGGTAGCAGACGCTGGCTGGATGTAATGTAGATTCAAGTGTAACGATCAGTGTCAATCAGAAATATGAAATAATATGAAATATAGGTAGCTTTGTTTTCGAGATTATTTGTGAAAAAGACAATTTCTCTTGATTAACTCTTTGGAGTTAAGTGGGTTAAACACCGCCCCACCCTTTGATTAGCTTTTCATAATTAGAATATATCTAAACCATCCTCGAAAAGTTCCAACAGTCGTACAGTTTAATTCATTCAAAGTTTGTCCCCAGTTAGCAATGCTATAACCGGTAAATGCATAAATAATTGAAAACCAACATTAGTAAGTCGTCGAGACGGTCGCGATTAAGGTTGGCAAACTGCGCGGTGCAGTGAATTCTACAGATTGGGTAGTCTTCTTGAAAGTTATGTGTCTCGAGGAGTTAAGGGTGAGTAGGGGGTGGAGGAGCGATTTTGGCGAGGAACAGGCGGGAATGGTGTGAAGTAACGGTCGGTTAAATTACGTCACGAGGGCTTCCACCGCGACGAGCCAGAAGGTTGAAAAAGAAACACGAATAAAACTCTTGGCAAGACTCACGATCTTCGCGAAGCTGGTCCAAGGCTCTCCGATGATTCTCCCTCTCCGACTCGAGCCTCTCTTCAATGCCGAGGTTTCTAGTTCTCAGCTCCTCGATCTCCGTGCAGGTCGACATCCATTCTTTTTTCATGTTCGCGCAATCTTTTTTTAGCTTCGGGGTAGAAAACGCGTCCAACTGTGCGACAGGCGAGAACACATCGTGCCGGTTAAATAAATTAGGATCGCCGATGGACCGTTAATGATAAGATAAGCGTTGCCGGACCGCGACTTCTGTTTGGTGGAATGTGTAATACACGGAGCAGAGAAATAGCAACGGTAATCGAAGAAATCATTGGATTCGAAAGTTTCAGTTTTATTCTTTCATCTGGCCTCTAAGTGTTTCGAAACTATTTCTAAATGAAATTTGTCTAAGTTGAATATAGAATCATTGAAGTCTATATGGAAGTTTCATCTGCTTTCTCTATAGAAAAAGAGCTTTGCACTCCAAAGGTGCCTCTCGGTCACCACTCGATTGAAGCATCAAAATTGTAAAATTTCATATTTAACATTAAGTCTCGAGTAATCTGTCGATACGTGAAATGTGGAAATAAAATAAATAATTATTCCCCTTATTTTGTGAATAGATTCCTCGTTAAGTTAGTTGAAAAAATGTCATCTATATCTCACAGAAATAAATTGAATATTTCTAGTGACAAAGTTTTGGAGTGCAAAGCGTTCGTCGAGTTAAACATCCACCAAACAGATGCGATATTCGTATAATAACCATAATAAAAGTAGCGAGCGTACCTCGTAGGCCAAATACTGGACAGTGACGGAGAGAGCCTGCACGATCTGGTCGGTCCTCTTCGCGCGGTTCGCTTCATAGGGGATGTCGGTTTGCGCGGCCTGGTCCCGCGTCTCCAGGGATGGCCTGCTCACCGGATATCCGTGTTCCTTGGTCTCCCGATCTGCAACTAACGTCACCGAACCCATCAGTATCGAAGTAGTTCCTCAGAACCACGATACGAAGTTCCGAATATCATCTCTCGGTCGAAACGCTTCTCGAAACGATCGTCAGCTTCACGACTTCTCTACCTTTCTATTGCTAATTCCGTTATCTAGAAACCATGAACATACTGTACATCATTGAAACGAAGACCTGAATAATTCTAATGTCATCTTGAACGTACTGAGCAGAAGCCAAAGAAATTCCACGGAACGATGCGAAGTTTCGAATATCATCCCTTAGTGGAAACACTTCTCAAACATCATCATTCCCCGATGTAGGAAGCAATGTTTCGTTAACGTCTCGTTATGTTTTCGTCGCCAATCCCATTGTTCAAGGACACGAACAACGTTCCGCGTGATCATCATCGAAACGATCGAACGCGACGCGACTCGGAGAAGGCCTGAATAAATCCGCTATCGTTGTCTCCGACGTATTTAGCGGATACCGAAGAAAGTCGCGCGGGAAAACTCGTTTCCAGCGAGAAAGAGGAACACGTTGGAAAGTCGGGCTACCTGTTTTACAGGATCTTTTCGCGCAGCGGAGAAAACAGGGCTGGGAAATTCGCGGCGTGGCGAGGGCCCGACTACTACGGTAAAACCCCGGTTGTTATCTGGACTAATTGCGACCGAGATGGTCTGGATAAGCGGCTAGGGAAATAAGTCGCTTAGCCAGAGAACGAATGGAGAGCGAAGCGTCGCTGGTAGACAGTGGTAACCAACGTTTGGATCGTTGAGAGTTTAGATAATTATGGATTTGGGTAATTGGAACTTCAGATGGTTCAAAGTTTAGACAATAGAGAGTTTATTAGATAATTAAGAATTTGGATAACTGGGATTTCAGATGATTCAAAGCTTACATAGTTGAGAGTTTAGATAATTAAGGATTTGAGTAATTGGAACTTCAGACGATTCAAAGTTTAGATAGTAGAGAGTTTAGATAATTAAGGACTTGGATAACTGGAACTTTGAATGATTCAAAGCTTAGACAGTACAGAGTTTAGATAATTAAGGATTCGAGTAACTGGAACTTCAGATGATTCAAAGTTGAAACAATAGAGATTTCGCATAATTAAGAGTGGAGACAACAGAAACATCAACTAGCCAAGAGCTCAGGAAATTAATAATTCCAACGACAAAGATCCCAGCTAACGAACAACTCGTACAGAAATTTCAGATAAGCAACAGTCGAGACGACAGAGAAACTCCGGACAATCGAGCGCTGGTACAACAGAGATTTCGGATAATAGAGTTCTCAGATAAGCAACGTTCGGATAACCGAGACTCCGCTGTATTTGGACTAGACTGCGTCACCGGGTTCCGATCCTCCCATTATCGCGTGTGCGTCGCGGTACGTGAAAGCACGCGGTCGCTGAACGCGTCCGGTGTCCGATCCTTTTTGCATACACGCTTTTCGAGCCAGACGCCTGGAAAACGCTCGCCGAGCATCCCCGGATTTTCGAACGGCGATTTTATTTCGGCTCTCGGGGCCAGGGAACGCGTTCAAGACCGTCGGCTCCCCGCTCTTTCTCTCTCTCTCTCTCTATCTCTCTCTCTTTCTCTCTCGGTCAATGAAGAGGGACCACAGTCTGGGTTAAGGTCGTACGCACGACTGCCGCTCCTACTCGTCGTTGTTCAGGAGAAGAGCCCCGTTACGCGTTTTCTTTCGTAGTTTCGACTAGGTAATTACGTGTAACCGCATCGACGAATAGCAATTTACCACTGGAACTACTGTTGGCAGACGACTCGATGTCCAGCGGCTCGGCGAAGGGAAACGTGTCCTTCTGTCTTACAGTTTCACGATTTCGATCGGTTACGTGTGAAATGTACTAAATCGGTCATCGAAAATATCAGGAATTAGCAAGTGAAGCGAATATAAGATTGCAGGAACCACTGGAACTACTGTTGGCAGATGTCTTTCTATTTTAGTTTCACGATTTCGATCGGTTACGCGTGACTTTGTAATAAATCGGTCATCGAAAATATTAAGAACTAAGAAGTGAAGCGAATATAAGATTGCAGGAACCACTGGAACTACTGGCAGACGACTCGATGAGCGGCTCGGCGAAGGGAAAGATGTCTTTCTGTTTTACTTTCACGATTTCGATCGGTTACGCGTGACTTTATAATAAATCGGTCATCGAAAATATTAAGAATTAGGAAGTAAAGCGAATATTGCAAGGAAACCGACTGAGCGACGAGTCGAATTCCTCGAGCATTAAGCGATCTAACTACCGAACAGGTCAAAGGACTTATTCCTCGTGTCTTTTTCGAATTATCGGGAAGATACGCTTCGCTGAGAAAACAGACACTAAAGAAGCTGATTATTCAAGAGATAACGGATGCTTTGCCGAGAAAATAGTCACTAAAGTAATTGATGCGTCACTCCGATGCGTTCGGTGGTGGTTCTAGGGGGTCGAGGGATTTAGGGGATGCCTGACGCTGGCCAGCGGAGTTTTCAATATTTACCGACGACCCTTCTGTCCCTACTCGGACGACGATCGAGGCGTTTCAGTTTGTATCTCCTGCACATCATTACAAACGTATCGTCTTGAGGTAACAGATAAAGGACACCGGTGGATCTCGCACTGGTTCGCGCACTTCCGATCAGACAGCGGATGTTTATGCAGATTGCTAGGATGCGACGCGCGAACGAACAGGAATACACTGCTATGGTAGCTTCTACAGCGATGATCTTTAAAACTGATACTAGAAGATTCTCGTCGAACTCCAAGTATCTGACTCGAGCGATTAAGTAACGTAACAGCGGTACAGATCGTTAATTACTTCCCATATCTCTGCTGCGAAAGAACAATGTCACACTCTCGATGCTCGAACAGTGAACGTATCAAAACCGATTTCCCTCGGCTCGACTAGAATCAGCATCTGAAATCCTTCGTTTCTCTACTTTACATTCTATACCCATGTCCGTCGCGAACGCATAAAACCCGCTGTCCACCGATCACGCCGAAGGCACTGGCACGTTCTCGCGCACGTTTCCCGCAGCACTTCAGGAGGACTGGGACGTAATTTCCCGGTCGTTTCGGTGGAAAAGACGCGGAGCTTCCGTTAGGATAGACTTGTCCGAGCGTTCGCTCGGCCCGGCGACGTTCGTCGAAGATCCAGCGAAGATAGAGAGGGTCGGGATCTAATCGGGTACGTCATTTGTAACGATTTGCTGGCCAAGTCCGCACTTCGACTGAATTAGCACGAGCCACAGGCTGCCTCGCGCGGCGATACCCACTGCCGACCGACCCCTCTACCTCCGTCTCTTCGACGACCACTCCTACCACCACCTTGGGACGAGGTGCAACCTCGGAGGCGGTGGAACAACACGAAGAGACGACCGACACGCGGAAATATCGTGCTGTAACAGTGGACACGCTAAGAAAACGCGCGACGGGAAGCTGACTGGCGATCATAGTTTCTGATATACGAATACCCTTTCGGTTTTTCGTGGAGTAATTTGGACAACTGCGATCGGATTCAACCCTTTATCTCGTTAATTGGGAGATTCGTGTTAATGGTATCGGTGTTTGTTGTTACTGTGAAAGGCAAAGGGTTAATAGCTATTAACAGAGATTAGTAATAATTGAAGACATGGGTTTTTATAATTGATCCGAGTCGGAAATGTAATCTGAACTGACGCTGGAAGTATCGGACATCGGAATCACCTGTTCTCAGTTCTAAATTAGCGAAATTGATACTAATGAAATTTTCATGGAAGTACCTATTATATCTAGGTAATCTAGAGTTATCAAACAGACGAATTTCGTGTAACAACATATTATCTTTAAAAGTACACAAGCTAAACCGATCGAAGTTTCAATAGACACAACGTCGAAGTTTATAGAAAAATTAGACAATCCAATTGAATTATTAGTGGATCCAGTGTTAACGAAGCCATCGAGGCACCGATGGCTTCACGAAAACGAGAAGGTAGAGAGCAATTTCGTTTCGCTGGAAGATTAACCGACAAACACCACTTAATAGCCGAGCGTTGTTTTATCGTTCGACGCCACGGGTTTATGGGCTCGTAAAGATCTAGTCTTGACTTTGGTCAAGAGGGAAACGATACAGCGCACAGTGCGGCCAGGCGGCCGTTTTCTGGGCAGAACTCGATAACTTAAACAGTATGAGTGACACAAAAGAAATGCCTCAAACAAAAATTCTAAGGTATGAAACCAAACAAATGGTGGTTATACTCTGTTTACATTATGGGGATATTACATCTCCATGAAAATGGATACGTTGCCTTTTGACGCAAACGCTAACAACAGAAGCGGAATTGAAACAAAACTTATTTTTCAAATGAAAACCATTTTGCATAGCAGCTACTACTTAGAAACACATTGGTAACCTTCAATTTTCGTTTTGCGAGTGAAATTTTCGGTTTTAACCCCTTGGCCTATGATTTCTCTCTCGACTCTGATCGATACGGCTACTTTGTCATTAATAATTTATTGGAAAAAGAAAAAAATTCCAAGTGTACGTTGCCTATATTTCCTTTTAAGTATAATAGTTGATCCCAGAGTAATAATGTTTACCGAATAATATATGTATTTGTTGAATCAGATCGAAAATGTTCACGAGTCTCGCTCGTTGTTGTAGGGCAAGGGGTTAACAGAAGCGTGGAAATGGAAGATGGAAACCGCGAGCAACGCCGCTCGCTCCGCGATGAATTATTTCAAGGAGCCGTGCTCCGAATATATTCGCTTTTCCATTTCGAATTGCTCGGCCGTACATGGCTCGGCCGTGCCCGTAATCGTGAGAGACAATACGTGTCCGACGGTGCACGCGCGCGCCGTCCGATTCGAGGATGATGATCCGATAGCCGATCAACGATAACGCCCTTCCGCCAGGACCTCGGCCGCGACGATTGACGATTCCGCTCGCGGATATTGCGGTTTCGTCACGCCGCCGCGCGCCGAATTTAATTGGGCGAACGCCTGCTAATTAATCGCGTCTAAATATTTAACGTTAGAACTATTGAACCATCGAACTGTTGAGCCAACCGATTGCTATCGATTTTCATAAGGAATAAGAGAATGAAAGAATGGAACTATAAAAGTCGTTGGAATTTTTAACGACCCATATATTCGTCTGCCAGTTCGTCTAAGTGCTTGGAATATTTGAGCAATGTCTCTTTAATAATTGTCAATAATTAATACGAGTTGCATTGGTTCGCCTAGTAAATTTGAGGTGAATCGAAACGGAAGCAACGTGTGTTTCTTTAACACTTTGGGTGACACCGTGATTCGCATAAACTTAGACATTACTTTTCTCGGTGATGAAACGAACAAACTGAATTCTTAGATGCGAGATACTAGAAAGATAGAGCAATCGTCATGAAGAATATTGACTTCCTAGTTTCAGCGTTGTTAAGAAAATCGCTTCGATTGCGTAGGAGTTTCGATGAGCGTACACTTGGCAGTCGAAGTGTTAATAATTAAATCTTATCTTAACGGCGAAATAAGAATCTTGAAATAGGTCCGAGCCGTCCGGTAGTTCCGCCGTTAAATATAGTTTCCATAAAAATGGCTGGCGCCGCGTAGATTATCTAACGGAGTTATCGGACTAACCGTAAATACGTTCCCGAAATCGCTGGTATAATTTACCCGCGCGCACAAGACTCGCGAGGCTCGCGAGGATGCGTTCGGGAGATCTCGAAACGGTTTTCCCCGGACCGCTCAAGCGACCGGTGTAATTCGCAGACAGTCGGGTTCATGAATGATTAATAGGACACTAAATTAAAACGAAAGGAAGTAGAAGACCGTGAAGTGAGGCCTCGTAGAAACTCCACCCGGGATAGTGCGACGTGCTTTCTAGGACGCGGCCGGTCATTGATAATGATCTTCGCTTCGGTAATTTGTTCCAGATAAACACTCGCGTACGAGCCGCGAGCTTCCGCCGCTCGCGGACCGCTCTCTCGCCGACTTCGCTTTTCGTTTCGCACGGACACGTCCTTTTCCAGCTAAATACCTTCCTCGCTCGCGGTTACATTAACGCTGTCATTACGCCGATTTTCCGTGCAACTTTCCAATGGAAACACGTTCAACAATTATCGGGCGCGATGGGAAACGCGAACAATGAATTTTCCGGCCCGGAGACGCTTCGCCTTACTCGGCTTCCACGAATCTGTCGAGTGGCGGAAAAAAGAAAATTTAATGAACGCGATGATACGGTAGGCACTCTTTCTAATGAGCTTATATATCCCAAGGATTGAAATTTCTATAGTATTCGAAATCGTGCGCTTAACCCTTTGCACTCGACAGTTTTTCACTAGAAATCCAACGTTTTTGAAACTAACTCGTCGAGAAATCACGCATAAGCTGAGAAACGAGGATATTTTATCTCAATATTTCATATACCGATGCCTTCGCTGAACTTAATATTAAATATCGAACTTTGACTTCGCTGTTTCTAATTAACCAGTTAACTGTGGAACTTAGTCTGAAAAATCTCTCCTTGCGAGCGCAATAAAATCGAATAATAAAGTATATACTCTAACGAAAAACTACAGCTTAATGAGAAACAATTATATGTTCATCTGACAAAACAACGAGTTGATCCTTGGAAAAGTTAACATCATTTTGTGTTTTAAGATGACGTGTATACTCGTCGAACACAGTTAACTGGTTAAACACTGAAAGTCACCTATAGAGTGCAAAGGGTTAATCCGCGAATGTTCTATTGTCGAGACGAATAACGACAAGAGCCTCGAAGTGGAGGCAACAGAAGAACCCTCTCAGGAATCTCGCGAATGGAACGACGAATTACCGAAAACCTGTTCGTCCAGCGATTACTTTCGCTAAGTCGGCGCCCATATCTCTCCTAGATAGCCGGCAGTTCGCCGAAGACTAGGTTTTTTTCAGGAACCCGAGAAGATCGATCCCCGGAGCACGCGGCACGCACCGTGCTAGGAGGGCCAGTGAAAGCTGCTACTTTCTTCGAAAGGACAAGCCAGTCGTCGCAGGGACACGCACGTGTGCGGCTCGCGCGCGAAACGGTGAAACGGCTCCCCGCGCGCGTACACGCACCGCGAAATGACCGTGGGACTTTTTTAGAAACCAGCCAGCCGACAGCCGACAGCCGGCTGCCTGGCTGGCTGGCTGGCTGGCTGGCTGGCTGGCTGTGATGTCGGTCGATGAATTAGAAAGCTCGTTTCCTCCGGCCATTATCTTCGCGGATGCAGACACAATGCTGACTCGCCGAAGACGCGAGGAGCTAGCCGGGGGTTGAAGACGCTCGTGACATCGATTTTCGTTCTTCGGATGCTCGCGGAGAACCGAAATCGAGTAATTAATGACTCCCAGCGGACCGGAAGTGTATCGAGTTTACTTACCGCGAAAAGATACCGTAACATGGAAAACAAGCGGAAAGAAATTCGCGGAAGCGACCTAGCGCGGTACTCGAGTCGATTGTAAATACGATAACGTGTCGAAGATGATTAAATGATCTTTGCTGTGTACGTTTGTTTACTGTTTCAGCGATTCACGAATTCGAGAAGCAACCTGTTGATTCAAACATCTTCGTTACACGCGAAGCTGCAAAAATTCGCACCGTTTCGAATGTTTCGAAAGAGAGAGAGAAAATGAAGAGAGAAATGTGGCGAGGGTTGGTTTACGAGCCATAGAGAAGTAACAGTTCGCTTGTCGCGGTTTTTCCAGCTTGTAAACGCGCGGAAATATCGATGTATACCTTTCGACGATGTCGTTGAACCGTGCTTCGCTGCCGGGACGGTGCTCGTTAATCTCCTGGTTGCCGGCTTTCGCGTCGCTGACGGACTCTTCTCTGAAAAAAATAAAGGGAACAGTTTATTCGGTGTGTCGCGTCGTCGGCGAGAAGGGGGAAGCGCACGGCTCGCGGGTGTTGGCTGGTAAGCCGCGTGTATAGGTACGGCCGCGTTCAATGCTACCGCAATTAACGCTGCGACTACCGAGTTGTATTTTCTTGTAGGAATGGCAACAGAGCGCTCGTAGTTTCGAATATTGGTGTCTTGTATCTTCGAATATTGGATTTTTGTATTATTGAATTATTAAAGTCTTGTGTGTGAAAATATGAGAGTTGTTAGTCAATTAGCTGACTCGACATAGAGTGATATACTCTATATATTATATATTTTATATACTTGACTATACTTCTCCAATAGTCGTTCAAAAAGAAGTTCCAAATTAGGCCACACTAAATGGCCTAATATTTCCAGTGTTAAAGCGAAACGTTCGTTATTCGCGCGCTTCCTCGTTGCTGATATACTGGGTGGCGAGATATCTCCATTCGACGGTTCGTCCTCCTCTGGGAAGATATCTCGTGCGTTAATCGAGGTATTACTGTACTACTGTATCGGCTGTGGGACCAGCAGCGGCCGAGTACCGTTTCGCGCGAACCGTTTTGCTGGCCGCACGAGATAATGCGAACTAGCCCCGGAACCTTTTATGTGAGAACCTCGAGCGCGACAAGTAACGTTTCCTCCGGGAATAATAACGAGGCGATTTAACGGTGGAAACCGGTAGCCGGGGAAAAAGGAACGCGAAAAAATGGCGAACGGGGAACACGGAGGCCACGCCGTCGATTAACGAACTCCTTTCGCAGCGTTTCGAATATCCGACGAACAAGCTTTTTAACGATTCATCGAGCTGACCCTCTGTTCTGTGATTTAATCGTTACCTCGTTGGAATCAACTTGTCGTTGCGTGTCAAAGGAAACAGACAAAATTACGTTTTAAAAAAATTAAGGACTGAGTCGCTCAGAAACCGACGTAGTTAAGTTCGGAAAAGAAAAATTGAGAATATTAATGTTTTGGCTTCTGAAATGATTATAGAATATATTCGGAAACTGTAAAAAGAAGAGCTTTCTGACTTGGAAACAACGAAGGCACGAGTGAATCGTTTGATAACTAAAAATATCGAAGAATCGACTTAACCGCATTGGTTTCCGAGCGACTCGATTGACAGTCAGGAAATAATGGTTACTTCGAACCAGTATCACGCAACCAACGCAATACTCTATCGGAGTTACGATAATCGTGATTCATAAGACCGATGCCTATACCAATTCACTGTTAACATATTAACGAGCTAGGACCTCTAATGACTGTACCGAGCTTCTATTTTTAACCACCGCTAATTTGAAGAATCTATCGTGGCGTTCGTAATTTAATGCCACTGCCAACTACCATTTTAGAGCACACGGGACACTCTAATCCGATCCACGAAAGTATATCGTGAAAAATTCGAGTCTGTTTACTCTCTTAGCACTGGTGACAGCCAACTAAATTAAATTACAATTCGCTCGAGCGAATGCGCCTGATACAGTCAAACGGAGGACTAAAATGGAACAGAATTTATTGGTATCGTCTTGGGTTTCAAGACGAGTATACTCGTCGAACACTGTCAATCGATTGAACGATGGTTATTTAGAAACTTCTCCGTTCTACGAATGAAGCAACTCCAAGCAATTCAATGCCCGATTCTTTTCGTTTTCTAGATTTCACTCCGTAAAGTCCTCGGAGCATAAATTATCCAACTGAAATGTCCCCCATAAAGATTACCATCGGAACGATCCACTTTGCGCGCCAACAATTCTTTGTTCCACCCCTGCGGTCGGAATCGCTCGCCAAAGACGGCGTACCTGGCGGTCTCGCAAAGGGTATCGGTTACAAGATGCTCGCGCAGGTTGCCAGGTTTCAGGTGAAAGGTATAATATCACAGGTATAAGTTACTCGACGAAAGACGCGCGAAAATGACTGCAATTCACCGGGGACAAAAGGAGAAGGAATTACGGCGCTGCGCCCGAACTTTCGCCCGTCGGGCTCCTCTCTTCGGCAAACGGGGAAGGAAAACGAACGAATGAAATAAATACCAAAGTATCCGGGGTAACACGAAGACACCGTCGCCGTGCCTCCGATATTCCAGTCACGCGAGCCCTGCGCTCGCTGGATCAGAACCGGTGGTCCGTTTATCCTGATCATCGGGCACGGTCGCGAGGAAACCGCTTTCGGAAGTCCTGTTAACGATGCCGATCACGGAACGCGTTGTCTCGCTCCGCGGAATACTCGAGGAACCTTGCACTTTGCTCGCGAGCTGGAACCGGGTTCGAGGAAACTTCTGGCGCTCGTTGGAAAAGCGGAGGAACGGTTCGAGCGAACTTTTGCTTGATGGTGCAGAGGAAGAAATTTGAAACTTCGGGAAAACGCGTGAATCGCTGAGGTAAGGCGAAAGGAACTTGAAGAAAGCTTCGTTTCTAAGGGACTAGAAGGAATCTCTTGCTTCCACGGATGTTGCACTCGAAGAGCGACACTGCGAAGGCACGTCAACGTTGCTCGGAGACCGGAGAAACCGAATGTCAGGCGGAGTTGTTTCCTCTGCGAAGGTTGTCGAAGGACTGAAGGATGAAAGATGCCAGGCCCAGCTCGTCAGGGTCCGTGGGCAGATTTAAATCGCCGAATGGCTGCGGTAAGGGATGAATACCGTTACGATTCTGACCTGAGCTGGCCGGGACGAAGTTTATTGTCGCCTGCGCCAGGGTGTCGCGCACGTGAATTCGAAATTCGTCGCGACGCACCGTGCCTACGGGGTCGTAAATCGAGGAGGTTCCGTCGGCGTCCGATTCCGAGGGATGAGTCACTCATCTACCTTGTAAATTTCGTTAAATTGCCACCCCCAAGGAGTCTCGCTGGTTAATTAGGAGGGGAGGGTTCCAGGGGATGACGCCTACTATGGGAATCGCGTGGTTGTTTGCTTTAGACGTAAGATGCATAGGATTTTATTACCTCGGGTGGTTGTCGAAGGATGTTTCCGGGGATGAATGTAATAAATTGAATGTTTGGTTGAAAAGTGGTTCCGGGGAGTTTAGAATTTTTATCCTCTGGTAGTAAAATCGGACGTTTCAATTGGATGTAAGAGATACGAATTGAAAGGACAGATTATTTCGAGCTTACGGGGAAGAACAATGAAATAATTGTCGGGGGACTGACATAAATCGCGATGAATATTTCAGAGAAAGGAGTTCCCATAATCTAAACGCCTTTAAATGCCATTTGCTTTACCTAACGGACGAGGCATGATATAATCTCATCCTAATGAATATTTAATATCCATTGATCCCGATAACGCACGAGCGAGCCGCGACTGCTCTAGAAAGCCAGCCAGGATCGACAGTTTCGTATAACTGCGTACACGAGCCGAGCCGATTAGGCGCACTTCCAAGACGAACTCCGACAATGTCGCCTTTTATCGAGGAAGGAGGAAGAAGAAAAGGCTGCGACGTGTTTTGACCGCCTCGTACCTCTATTGATGCCAACGGATTAACGCGTCCGCGACTATTAAACCCCTCTTTGTCCCTAGCTTATTATATTATTGCAATCATTGTACCCTGTTCAGCTCAATTCCACCGACAGATTATCTTCAACGCTAGGACTACCGAGAGGTCAAATCGACCGACCTGTATCCTCTTATACAAATTACAAAACTACATTAACTAACATTCATTTGAATATACACACAACTTGAATAATTTCTAAGTAAACAATTCTTACTTCAGCCATTGCAAAAGAAGAAACCCTAAATGAGTGAATTTCACTCTAGTATCTAGTAGATCCAGTGTCAGCAATTATCAACTAATTTTATTCTGGTACACTTGTATAAAGATACATATATTGATAAAACAAATCATCGATATTTCCAAACAACTTCAATATATAAATTCTTTGAAGATTCCACTAAGAAGAAAGTATTTCCTTCGACCGTTTGAGAACTGCTTATGGAACATAATGGGTTGCATAGTAAAGTGCAATCTACAGGTGGATCAAGGCGGCGCGAACAGGCTGAAGACGAATCAAACGATTACAGGAAGACGTTGAACGGTTTCCCGGTGGAAAGCAGAAAACGATAAGACGCAATAACATCGACTCGCCTAAAGCGACGGTGGCCGGTTGCCAACAATACTTTTCAATGCTACGCTTCCTACTGAAAATAGATCCCTCCTGGTGGTGCGCTATCGACGCGCCGATAAACTATTGAATGCACGACGGCTTCGCACGACGCGCGGACAGTTGCATAGGGGCAGGCGTCCGCACGGAAAACTATATTCTCTATTACGTTATGGAGTCCGCAGCGGCGAGTATCCAACCGGAAGCACGCAGCGGTGCCCTCGACCTTTCGTTTCCTCCGTTCAATCGGTGAACAGGCATTCTAACCCTTTGCACTCGAGTGGTGATTGTCGGTCGGCGTTTCACTCGATACAATACAATTATTAGTTTAATTTTATATTATAATATAGTTACAATTGAATATTTAAAAATCTGATACAGTAGAATTATTAGTTTCATTTTATGATATAATTACAATTAAATTATATTATGATATATAATAATTATAAAGTGTAACGTATCATATTTCATCAGAAATCGTTGAATATTTTTAGCGAAAAACTCTCGAGTGCAAAGAGCTAATATTTTTCATTGCCACTACAAAAATACACGAGGAAGTTAGCGACTCCGGCCAGTGAAATAGAGGCTCGATAAATTTTCTATGAAAGCTAGTAAACATTCTCGAGAAAATATTTATCGTTCTGTACATTGTCTGTAATCCTAAAAATACCGTGTAATCCGTCTACCACCGACGCTCTTCTTGGAACATAATATTTTCATTGATGCAAATTCTTTAGAAATAATTCCGAACCTGCTGCTAACGACCTGCACCTGTTACACCCAATTAGCATTCCCTTTAATCCTTCTAATCTCTCTTAAGAGTACACGGAACTAATTCCTAAATCCCAATTACGGTCACAGTGCTCCGAAGGTCCTTGAATAATATCTTTCAACCTGCCGCAGAGATTTAATATTGCGTAACCGGCAACCTGGAGGAATTGTTCTTAATGCAACAACTTCGCGGAACAATAGATTACTTCCAGGAGAATTCCCTTGGTAATTACAGTTAAATAATCTAAAAGTCCCTCCTTCAATCGATAGAAAATTCGTTGGAAAGGAGCCGCCATTCGATTCGCAGCGTATCTCCATCGACGAGGGGGATGACAAAGCGTTACGCCAATGAATGAAACGTAATAATATGCCAGCGTTGTTCCAGCCGCATTATCCCGTCCGTAACGTTTTCAACGCCGGGACACGCGCGTCGAACGTGCGACCTCCGTGCGAGCTCGTCGCATATAATTTAGGCCGCGCGTATCGCGGTTGCTCCCTCGACAACTCACCGAGACTGATCGTCGAAATTTCTACGCAGCTCTTCTTGTTGTCGAAACTATTGACGCGGCTCTGCTGGCTGTTGCGGCCGTTCGCCACCAGCCTCCTGGGCGGGTTCGCCGACGTCGGTGATCGCTCTGCGAAAAATGAGAAAGAAACGTCGGATTAGAACAGCATCGCAATAAAGAGCGACGTCATGTCGTGTTGTTTCGAAGTTAAAAATGACTGCTATCGGCTCGCAGACTGTGACTGAGTTTATTTTCAGACGGAGAAAGACTATAATTCTTTATAAAGATTAGAAGATATTACAGAATTTGAAACTTGGAACTTGTAATTTGAAATCTGAACAATTAGTCATTCATTTAGAATTTTGTTGTGAAAATTAGAAGGTGCAGAGAACCGAAGCGCATTATGGTTAACACTACTGTCATTTTCAACGATTCCAAAGTACACGTCTGAGAACGTATCAATGTCCGAATCGTCTGATTCCAGCGTCACTGCGACACAAGGAAATTACGCCGCGTCTGTTTTCCGAGCTGGAGGTGAAAGAAGGCTAAAGAAGAAGCGTGTTTTCCCATGGTTTTCCCTTTTGCGACTATTTATACGAACGGCGAAAACAACGATCTCTTTCTCCGTCCGGTCGACGTGGTTGTGCAGGATGGTTCGTCGACCGTGGAATTTCGTTTCTTCGCCATCGGTCGCGGTTTACTTTAATAACGTTTCGCGCATCATCGGTATTCTCGCCGAGAGACGGGAGGAACGGAAGAGAGGAGGAGAGGAGAGTCTACACGGCAGCGTGTCGGCGGCTAAGTTTGAACGCGGCCGATTATGCCAACGAGGAAAAGAAAACGTTTATTATGTATGGACGCCGGGCAGCGTGAGCCGCACGCGAGGAACGCGCGTGTAACGGCCGTGCACCCGTGTTGCATAAACTCTCTGCAGGCCGGAGGAAAAATGCAGCCTACACTCTATCGGGTTTTCGTTGGCACGCTCGCAACAAGAGGATTTCGAATGTGTTTTATCTTTGAATCTGCAACACGGAGAATCGTCGACATGTTTCATTGATAATTTCATTATTGAAATGATTTCTAATGACAGAGTAATAAATAGATAGATGAAAGGATTCAACTGTTCTAAACGAATACGACTTCATCGAACCGATGTACCTAGATACTTTACTATGATAAAAAGACAAACAAGAAAGGCCTCTGAAACGCAAGGTCAACCGACGAGTTAACTCGTCTTCCCCAGCTACCTAGCCAAGTGTAGCCTTGCTAGGGGTCGCCAAAATGTTTTAGTAATACTTCACAGCGAATTGAGAGTTAATTGAATGACCAACTAGATAACGGTGCACCTTGGAATCGAACGACCGATCGAAGGCCAATTCAAAGTCATTACAATTTTCGCCATTAAACGTAACACCTGTGTCTATACCAAACAACAGAAGAATAAAATACATCTGACTTTTCTCTACGCGCCTATCACGTATTTATGAATATGTTTCATCGAAAGCGTCGAGTCGCCGTGTAGTTCGGGTGAACAGTTGCTCCCATTGATCGTAGCCACGAAAGAAACAAGCGAGGTATGAAACGCTCAAGACTGCAGAGCGGCAGTCGACGTGTTAACGCAGGCTAATTGAGCCAGGTTTTACGAGACGGCCGTCGCGTCCGCGCACGGTCTAACGAGTCTCGGAGAGCCGCTCGCTCGCCGAAGGATGGGCCCCCGGTCAACAATGATCGATGTTCACCGTGAAAGAGAAATCCCTGGGCGACGAGGTGCGCGCAAAGTAGGGTACCTTTGATCCTACCCCGTAACGTTTTAGACTCGGTCAAGAGAAACCGTTCGACCCATCTACCTTTTCGAATGCCTATGCAACCGCCGAGAGCCAGTCGGCTCGCTCGATCGCTGGCACTCGCGTCGCCGGCAACTTTCTAGCGTTAAATGAACCACGAAGAAAAAGGCAGGTGGCGGATAGCAGCTACCTCTTCGTTTTTTCCCCTGTCCGCCTCCCCGTTTACCTCTCCTCTCCCTCTCTCTCTCTCTCTCCGGCTTTGTGGGACGAGATTAAAGGATTAACCGGGGACAGCCTCGTAGCCTGCGATTCCTGGTCTATGGTTTCGATGGAGGATCATCGACGGTCCGACGCGGGGAAGAAAAGGATTCGATAGGCAGTCGAGACCTTGAAGGAATTCCGGCGAAGGCACTCAGCTAGCAGAGCCAGAGAACGCGTCTGTGCTTTCGAATGTTTCCGTTCGATTTCGTTCGAGTGGAGCCTGAAATTGTTCGAACGTCTTCCTGCAAGACAGAGGTGTTTCCGTAGAAATGGGAGAAAGGCGAGCCTCGATCCGAATACTTTCCCTAGGATCGCTTTCCTAACGAAGTCCTTTTTCCTCTCACGGCTGGGAGTATTCTGAAAGCAAGCTCGCGAACGCAGAGGATCGCGCAGACCCCGCGGTGTGTAGACTGTACCTCGCTTGAAGCTGCCCAGCCGCATTTTCGTCGAGTCTCTGACGAAATCCGTCCGGAGAGCCGGCCTACCCTTCGATCCCTGCTGCCCCATTTTTCGAGTAACTCGCTTTCACCGTCTCTCCGCCGCCGGTCCGTCGTTAAAACACAGTCTCCGTGACTTCTCGGCCATGAGGAACCCCTGTCGGCGTCTTCTGTCTTCACCCCATGCTGCCCATTAGAATTCTCTTCAGCCACATCCTGTGCACGAGCACGGTGAACCGCGGCTACCAAACATCCTCCGCGGCCTCCTCTTCCATCGAGTCACACGAAAATCCGCTGTCTTTCTATTCCTCCGGCTTCCTCGGGATCGCTGGGATCACTTTCCACCGACTACGCGTCGAACAATCACGAGAAATCCCCTTGTTCCTCCCGCGGGGACTATCCAACGATCACTCTCTCCGGATCACGGAGTATCGATTATACCTTGAAGAGTCATGAGAGATTCCCACGGCTGTGCCTTCTACGGGGGCCACTCGACGCGAGGATCCTTTCCTAATTACAATGCAGAAGCGATCTCGGGAATCTTTTCGTTACCGGTTTCTTCGGTAACCGTCCAGCATCCGTATCGCTCTCTCGCGACTAGAATGCGGGGAACGACAATGGTACCATGAACGACCGCTGGAAATTCTCTAGTTCCTACGCTCGGCAAGCTCCGTTCGACACTCGTAGCACTCTGTACCGATTGCAGCGCGAGAAACGCGTACGCTAGCGGATAAACTTAAAATGTCCTTCGTCCCAGCGTCCCTGAGGGACAATGGTGCAGCCGTGTCACTCTCTCCCGGGCCGAATTCGACGAGCATCAACGCAGCCACGGACAATCTCGAGAAACTCCGGCGTTCCAGCGACGAGACGCGAAGGAAGGACACACGGCACCGTGAAAACCGGCGATCGACGGTGACTGGATCGCCGGTCCGGTTCTCCGGCGACCCGATTCCGAACGAACACAACACCGCGGCGGCGGCGGCGGCGGCGGCGGCTGCGGCGGCGGCGACGGCTGCGGCGCGTTCTCCGCGTCTCTTTCACCGGCGGTCGGTCCAGCTACGCGCGTCCTCAGCGTGCCCATGTGGGCTCAACATCTGATTCCGTCCGCTGGTGTTGCGTAAGTGGCGGAGGGCCGGGTGCGCGCGTGTGTACACCGGTGGTCGTCGGCCTTGGGAGCGACGACGCACGTGGTCGCCGGGTGCACCTGTCTAAAACGGGTGGGGACGGCCAGCCGAGCGGCGGCGCGCCGCGTTCTCGAAGGACGTGCACGGGACAGAGACGACGACGTGCACGGCCGGTCCGTTCGGAAGAAAGGCAATGCCGGAAATAAACCGCCGGTGCCGTTGACCCGTGCGGAACCTCGGCGAACAAGCTGAAGAGTACGCTGAAGAGTCCGCCGATGACGAAGATTACGCCGGAGAAAGAGTGGACGGAGGCTTCGTCGAAGATTTAGACGAGAACTCTGACGGAGACTCTGTTGGAACTGAAGCTGACGATGAACACTTTGAGGGCTCAGCCGACGGCTTCGCCGAAGGCACTGTACCTCGGTCCGTCCGGCAACCAGACGGTCCTGTCGGCGCACGCTCCCAGGATCCGCGTTCTCCGTGCACCACGAGGTCGACAGGCAGCTACGGTAACGGTACCTCGCAGGAACTTTCATTGGAGGCCGGGAGAGAGGCAGGTGATACGTTCTCGCAGTGCCGCAGTACAGATTCCTCCGAACGCAGGGAGCAACGCGCTGGCATGCCGCCGCGAGCAATTTCGAATCCTCGTTCGAGCACACAGCTGACACCGAATCGTATATTCCCTTCCCTTGTCCGCGGTGGCTGGTACCGGGGACGGAAACAGTCCCGATGGAAGACGCGTAATCAGGTCACGAGCGAGAGCGCGCATCCGCGCGGACGCAGAGTCGCCCACGTTGCAGCTCGTCGACGAGCTCCGGCAGCAGCTCCGTCATCGGATCCTGCGGAAGTACCGAGCGACGATCACTCCGGTGTCGTTTGATCCTTCGAGGAACACCAGCGATCGACTCGCAAACCGATCGAGGTCGCCGCGCAGCGTTCTCGATATGCACTTTGCACCGTCACCTTGCGGCATTCACTGACGACGATGCACCGGCTGTTCAGCCTCGGTCGCTCGCTCCTCTCTCTGTTCCTCCGTCGCCGGAGAGAGCGTGTTACGTGTCCCTCCGTGTACGTGTGTATATCCGAACGCCCTCCTCCCTCGATGAAATCGGTCAGCCCCACGGACAGAGTAACACACCGAACGAACCGACACGGCCGCCGATAGAGGGGAGGCGGAAGCCGGCCCGGGAGGGGGAGGGGAACGAGAGAAGAGCACCGGAAACGCAACACGCGTGCATAAACAGCGTCCGAGCGATCACGAGGTCCGCCGAGGACTGCCGACTGGATGCTGAAGGAGGCTAACCGCGACGCGAGCCTAACCAGACTCGACTCTCCCCGATCCAATGGAAACGGAAGACGTCGTCGCCGGCCAGTGGCGCCGGACCGCCGCGGCGCCCCTAGCTT